AGAAGGGCGAGCCGGGCCGCCAAGGCCTGCCGGGCCCGCCCGGGGCGCCCGGCCTGAATGCGGCCGGGGCCATCAGCGCCGCCACCTACAGCACGGTGCCCAAGATCGCCTTCTACGCCGGCCTCAAGCGGCAGCACGAAGGCTACGAGGTGCTCAAGTTCGACGACGTGGTCACCAACCTCGGGAACCACTACGACCCCACCACGGGCAAGTTCACCTGCTCCATCCCGGGCATCTACTTCTTCACCTACCACGTCCTGATGCGCGGCGGCGACGGCACCAGCATGTGGGCTGATCTTTGCAAAAACAACCAGGTGCGTGCGGGAGCGCGCGCCCAGGTGCGGGCCAGAGGGAGGAGACCCCGCAAATGAGGGTGGGGAGCCGGCAGAGAAGGGCAAAGCCGCCTGGCTCCCCCGGGAGCGAGAGGGAGAGACTCTCGGGGAGGTCGCGGCTCACCCCTGGAGAGGCGGGGGCCGTTCACTGGGAAGGGCATCCGTCTGTCTAGCGGCCTGGAGAGGGCGGTTCCCAAACCGGCTCTCGCACGCGCTTGAGAGCGCGACCCCTTAAGGAGCGGCAAGCTGAGAGCTGGGTGCCCCCCCACCCCACCCCAATGCCGCGACCGCTGCAGCAGGAAGGGAGCCGCGGAGCGGGGAGCAATCACCAGTCCCGGGATCCTCTGCAGCTTAGGATCACCTGTAGGCATTCTCAGGAAAGTAAGGGCTGGGGGAGCCTAGAATGCGCGTGCCAAGGAGACAAACCCAGGGAAGGAAAGTGGGGATCCAAGGGAGAAAGTAAGGGTCTGCAGGGCTCACGCTCTTGGGGAGCATCCAGAGCTGAGGCCAGTCTGTGGGGCTAGACTTCGCAGGGCCCTGGCCACATGGCTGGCGGAGAAGCGCATCCAGTCCTTGCCAAGACTCAAACTGCAGTTTCCTGCCTACGTGAGAGGACAGGGGAGAGGGAAGGAGTGTGTTAACCAAGGGGAAAGTTGAGGCTCTGTGGGTTTTGACACTGTAAAACACACCCAAACACAAGAGCCCAGGCTACTGAATGGCCTAGGAGGACGCCCACGATGGTGGCCGGGGGCGTGAGTAGCTGCAGCCCCAGCGCTCTGGACCTCGTGGCCAGCTGCCCGGGGAGCACTTGTCTGAGAAGCTTTCCCATCTTTGCCAGCCCCATCGCAGGCAGCTGCGGCTCAGGTCAGCCCTGGCCACAAGGGCTTGCTCTCTTTGGTCGCAGGCGCCTCTAAAGAGGACCGCCGGTGTGCAGTTTTCTGCTAGGGTCACTTCAGTGTTCATGTGGGAAATTCACGGTCACTGCAAACCCTTAGCCAGAGGAGGAAACGAACCTTTGTAATAATCTACAAGGGTAATCAGACCCTGTGCTAGGGCAAAGTCGGCATCCACTCTTGCGTCTGGGACCTGGGTTGAGTTCCAGGAGGCAACTCTACTGAGTGGCATGGGGGATGGCCCACAAACCCGCCACTGCCAGAAGAGGCCTCGTTGTATGCAGCAATTTCGATCTTGAATTGAACAAGGGTTGGGGGGCTTCCAGCCACCCATCTTTTGGGAATTCAGACCATTTAAGCTACAACCCAGGTTTCCACTAAGCAGCAGAACGCAGGTTGTCTTCTGGACACCTAATTCCGTGTCAGGATTCCTTCTGAAGTAAACGCCAAGCGCCCCAAATGTGGTAGGGAGAAAGGACAGAAACTCCCACTCCTCTGTCTCCCCACCCACTGCTTTCCTTCTAAAGAAATTCAGAGGCAAATAGCTTAAGGCACCCTCAGGACACATGAACAAAAAGAGGAAACATGGCCACCAGGAGGCACTGACAGGGTTGTTTATTATAGTTATTATGCAAAAAAAGAATATTAAAATAAATAAAACAGAGCCCTGGTGTAAGTAAATGGTAAATGGTTCAAAAGGGCGTGACTCACTGTTCCAAAATAGAGCTATTCTATCATCCTAACAAAGTGATCTAGGAGCAGCCCCCCTGCAGGCAGCTTGCAGGCACCCCATTATTTACAAATGGGCTCTCTTTCCATCCAAAGGCTAGGTTGGGAAAGCACCAATAGGCCCAAGAGACTCTTCTGAGGCACTAATTAAAATGGAATAAGATTGGAGTTTGATTCCTAAAGGTTTGAGGAGGGAGGCTGACAACTTTCAATGTAATCTACAACTCACGATGGCGTGGAAACCAAGGGAAGGATTTGTTCTAGTTACTTTCGGTGTTGCTTTCTACACTGCTGATCCTGTGTGTGTTCCTCTGACTCCGTGCACACCTTCCAGAGAGGTGCTCTATATGCATTTTGTTTTAAAAATGATGACACAGTTTGGCGTGCACAGCACTTCTTTGTATCAGCCTGTCAGGTGTATTCAAGGAGGATCAGAAAGAAAATAAAAGGTAAAACAGCCTGCCTTATCTGAATACTGCTTCCCACTGGCATGACTAAGCAGCTCCAAAAGGTATGCTGGGAAAGGTATGCAACAGGTCAGTCAGAAATATAAATATATCGTTGTAAACAATATGTCTTTAACTTCAGTCTGGACCAATTTGGGAAACAGTTATTACCATCGTACTATGAAGAACGTTTGTCTCCCAAAATGAGCTATTTTGTAAACCCTTGGCTGCAGGCAATTACAAAAGAGGAATCTTCTAAAGCATTTTATCATTATTATTATTATTATTATCATCAGTAAATAGATACTCTTGATTTTGAATCACAGTCTAGCCCGATCACTTCATGGAAGGGCAGTTTCTCCCTCTGAGTTGACCTGCTTTGTTTTCATAAAACAAAAACTCAGCGATCCATGTCAGTGCCGTGTTCTGTGGATTAAGTGGATTTTGAGAAGCACAAAAATTAAACTCGAATTGCAGTTAGTTCTCTTTAGGATGGAGGTGCGCCTCCGGACCGGAACCGTCAGAAAGCCATTTTATTTATGCTTTGTGTTGAATGCAGGATCACAGATGGAAACATCAAAGGCCAGTAAATTAACCGGATGTGCCACTTAACCTTTTGTTTATGATTCCACAGAAGTACAATGAAAATGAAATTATGAGAACATCAGTAGTAATTAATTAAATTAGCAAATGTTACCATAAATATTGCCTCTAACGATAAATCCTCCCTAATAAGATCATGCCAAAGCTGCATAAGCGATTGCCTTCTTACAAGCGTACCATGAGAGGAACTACAATTCCCTACTTCCCCATGAAACCATCAACTTAAATTTAATCCTGCCAGTCGTTGAGAGTCCATATGACAGTACATATTAAAAGGAAAAGTCAGACACAAATAGCTTTACATAGAAACAGGAAATGCTTTTGTGTATTTTTAAAATAGGCTTATATACTTTCAGCAGAGAAACCTGAATAAAAAGATTGCCATTTGAAGACAAACCCCCAAATAGCACTATACCCAAGTGACTGTAATATAAAACTGGCTTAGCATGATCACTGTCAAATAATTAAAGACCAATTTTCACTCTCAGAATTTATTAGCTATGGCACCAGTGAACATGAAATATGCTAGAGGAAGTGAATGGTCTGTGGGTTGAGATTCTTTTATTAGCAATATTAATGAAATGTCAAATTAATTATCTTTTCTAAGGACAGTAAAACAGGGACTTAAAAAAAAAAGCAGGATCTAACGAGTTAACTTGTGGTCTGACACGCGGGGAGTATCTACAGGGAGGACAGGGGCTGCTGGCTGAGGGAAGGATGCATGGGGTTCCCAGAGAAAATGCTGAAGTCAGTGTGCTTTATGGAACCTGACAATGACTTCCAGGGTGAAGGCCTTACTCATCCTCAATAGTTTGATGGTTTAAAGGGGGAATTGTTGAAGTCATTCAGCTGGATCCCAAGGCTTGCAATCTGAAGTCCCATTATTCTTTTAGAGTAAAATCAGGTGAACAGACATGCTATAATCATGTAAAACATAACGGGTGCATGGCAACTGTTTAATTGGGAGACAGTCTTAGGGTAGAGTCGAGGTTAAAATCTTAGAGAATTACTTTCATTAAAAAGCAATCACACTGGCTTTATCCAACAAAGGAAGCGAAAACCACAAGGGTGACTTTCCAGTCTGTGGGATCCCACTAATGCATTGGCAGGGTTTTGTGGTTATACCTATTAAATAAAAATGGTAACATCCTCATGGTTTTGTGGTCACATCCTGAAGAATAAAAACTGTATTATATCTTTTTCATTTATTTATTTTTTAGGATTGTTGTCTCTAAACTGAGTCACTTTAATGAGTCCCGGTTCCTAAATGCCTTCATAGAAAAAACAGTGTCAAAGCATGGCTCTGAGAACACACAGTGCACTGTCCGAAACACTGAAGAAAATGTGAGTCCAGCCTTTAGTAATAGGGGAGGAGTAGATGCTGGACTGACTATTCATTAGCCTATTCAATGCATGGCTAATTACCATTTTGTACTTGAACTTTTCTCATCCATTACAAGTCCACATTAAAAAAAAATCAAGGCATGATAACAATATCATATATATATATTTCCTCTGAGAATTAAGAACTGCATAAAATGAATGATTCGCATCATTCAGCTCCCGTAACCTGATGATTGCTTCCTAGGAAATACTACAAAGTTTGATTTTATTATTTCTTAATGGTCTAAACAGATACCCTCACTAAATTGCTGTCCACATTTGAATCAGTGCTTCTGATCATGATGACATGCTGTATTGCTTTCATTACACAGTGTATTAGTGAGAGAACAGTGCTAAGTTATATTAAATCCTTTAAGCCCGTTCTCTTTCTGTTATACGATAGCCAGGAAGAAAATTTAAAAATACAACTCAAATTACTTTACAAGTTCACCAGTGTCAAGAGCCTTCTCCTTTTTTAGCATTTCAGCATTAATGTGAGAACCAATCACATGAGAATTTCATTTGAAATTTGAAATAAATGCATATGGCAATGTCTTGACTTATGTCTCATTTCCCTCATTTGGCCAAATGATAAAGCCCAGCATCTCGTACCCCAGGTCATGCATTATTACGGAGTGCAGGCTGACAAAGCCACTAAATCACTGATTCTGTTATTAAGGGAAATATCTTGATAGTCAAATAGAAACAAGCCACAAAGTGGAATACATTTTACTGAAATAAATCAAATACGTATGGAAAGATTTTCCAAGGCAGAATCAAAATAGAGCTAAGTGAATCCGGAGCCAAATTTGAGTTGAGCACGTGTCAGACTGTCCATAGTACTTGATATGATAGGCAATTTGACTGTTTGCACATGTCTATCAACTCCCTAGTGAGATCATGGGCTCAACATGAGCAGATTATACGCAACCCTCATCCCTGATGCAAACCGAGCATGAAGAACCCCCTAAATATAAAAAGTGCATACCCTGAGTAAGTTAAAAAAAAATACATAGAAAATTTAAAGAGCTCAAACATAGACACTTCATCCCTCTCATAACTTTTAATAGATGTGTTAAAATTTAAACAGTTGATTTACATGCATACCTCTCAATTAAGTGAGAAAAGGGCACTCACAGAGAAAAGAACTCTAAAAATTGAGTGAGGTTTCATTGAATCAGGCTTCTGAAGGAGTCTGGCAAAGGGACTTTACCTGAATTAGATTTTGAAAGACCCAAATCAAAGATTTTTTGTTTGTTTGTTTGTTTTCCTTGTCTCAGTGAATAGTAGTGTTGCCCTGGGTTTTTATCTACCATAGCTCTCTATCCATTTCTGTAATTGTGGAGAACAACTGAAGTTCACCTTGACCTATACTCATAAGCAACTGGTTAGGATATTGCTATTTGGCTGAAATTAAAATACAAAGTGAAAGGAAAAAAATAAACACTATTCATTTATTTCGATAAGTGGCTGGGCATAGGAATTTAGGGACTTGGGGGGATTAGAACAAGCAGTAATTTAGGAAGAGACAAGACTGGCAGGCATTCTTTCCCAATGCAGTCCTACAGTAGGAGAGGTTGCTGGACTAGCCCCACCAATGCACTATTTTCTCCTTCCTCCTTCCCAACAACAAGAGACAAACTGCGGCCGTGCCTGTGCTAAATTCTGTGCTCTGGATGCATGAACGAATGGCATAAAGGAATAGAAGAAAGCTTGATAGCTGTCTTTTGAGAATATTAACTCTTGTCTGTTTCACATAGGTGCGTGCTAGTGCAATTGCCCAAGATGCCGATCAGAATTACGACTATGCCAGTAACAGTGTGGTCCTTCACTTGGAGCCAGGCGATGAAGTCTACATCAAGTTAGATGGCGGGAAAGCTCATGGAGGCAACAACAACAAATACAGCACATTTTCTGGATTTATTATTTATGCTGACTGATAACACGGAGACGAAGCTCCTTCTTCTGAGTTGGAACGCTGGATTCGTACGGCTAACGTCAGCGAATCAAGGATCCCAGGAGGTGCCAAATGTGGGGCACCTCAGTTGTGTGTATCAAAAGCTACCTGACTCACATCTGTATCCCTCAGAAAAAAACATTCTGTAAAAAAAAAAAAATTATAAGCAAGATAAGCAGATGTGTGATCCACTACCGCCAAAGCAAATACTCCTTATTGTTAGTGTCCATGTGAATGAAGTCCTATATAGATCACAAATTTTTATAGAAAAATCTAAGACAATGAATTATTTCTTCAATATATATGATACTTTGTGTACTGTGATCTTGCTGCTTTTACCCATACGTCAGCTTTGGTTCTTGTGAGTTCACCTGCTTACTCTGACACTTGGAGCCCATTTGCAGGGTGAGGAAAAATGACCTTACCCTGCAGGAGAAGGTCTACATGAAACGATGCTGCTTGCCCCCAAAGAAATCGTTTGCCTTGTACTTTTGTTAACTTTAGAGCTAGATCTGGGAATGATTCAACTTCAAGCCTTAACCTAGAATTTTCTGGATTTGAGGGAATTCCCAAACCTATGACCTCTTTCACATTTTCTTTTTCTTAGGGGTTTTCGCTTCTCTCTTTTCTGGTGATAATCTTTAAAAATAGCGATGGATAGTGTACCATAGGGTTACCCTCTAAGTCTGTTACTGTGTAATTATGTATGGTATTTAGAAAATCCCCTGTCTCCATTTTGTCAATAGAGTACATTTAGAATTACTTAGAAAGTCAGACAAACCTATTCTTTGGTAAAAAAAAAAAATCAGATGGAGGCGTTTGCCTTCTTTAGAACAGAGAGTAATCCTAACCCAGGGCACAAAGGGTTAATCTGAGCTGCTGCACGCATTGCCAAGGGGATACCAGGCAAGGCCTTCCAACAGTTTCTGCAAATCTGTGGCCTGAGAATATTTCATGATCAACAGTTTCACGCACAGTTAATATGACAGCAAAGTGTATATATTTTATACCAATATCTGCTACATATATATGTTAGAAGAAATATAATATATATATATGGCTTTAGTCCACAAGGCACAATGGCTGTATAGCCTCAAATGTTCATTTAAATATATATATATATGTATACATGTGTATATATACATATATATTCATAATTTGACTTATTTTAGATGACAAATAAATGGAGTAGCAAGATAGCGTAAATGACTTCTCTTTGATTATCCAGAAAGTTGCTTTTTTCAAAAAAGGTTAAAATGCCCCATATGTCATCACATTTGTGGAAGTTAGGCTTATGGTTTCTTTATGATTATATACCAATCAATAACTTAACTGCAGTCTGAGCAGATGGCTTGGCCTAGGACTTCAGAACTGAGGTGATGCTCCTTTGCACTGTCTATGAATTATTTGCATTTGAATGATCCCCCGCCCCCCCCAACCGTGGATCGAAGCTGAAAGTAAAGTAGATTTTAGAGAGTAGTGCAAATCCCTTCTCTGGTTCAGCTACACTGCCAAAAGCCATGTCTTTAATCTAAGGAAAAGATTAGCAATGCATGTTGATATATCCTATCTATCAACTTCCACAGTTACAATGAAAAATCTGCTCCTCTTTCAGTTGCCTTTGAAGGCTCTTGACAAGTAGGTTGAGAGAGAGAGAGAGAGAGAGAGAGAGAGAGAGAGAGACTTAAAAATCTGCTTGTTTCCCTGGTGAAGGACATTTGTTTTGTTTTGTTTCACTTAAAGAAATTAGCTTATTCTCCCGGCTTGTTCCTCTTTGGTATTTTCTGTTCTAATACATGGGAAGCTTGATCATTTTCAATCAACCAAAATCTTTTATGTAGCAATTTCAACTTTCCACAAGAGTTATGCATGGCCTTCCCATCTGAAGATGTTGTTTACTTTGTTGAAATGCCTTGAACTGAGGAACTGTCATGATTTATACGACTAAAATCATTTGGCCGGTTCATCAAGAATGATGACTAACTCTGTTTGGTCTTTCTAATATATAAGGTAAGGAGAAGGAGCTCTAACAGATTTCGTTTCGATGTAACAACAGGCATTTATGAAAGAGGAATTCACAGCAAAGGTTTGCAGAAGGTTTGTTTTTATTTATTTATTCTTGGGCACCTAGGAGCATAGTGAAAATTTGGAGCAAAAGAGTAGTTTGTAAGTAGCAGTAGATATCAGCTAAGTTTCAACTGACAGTTCATTTTAATTTTTATTTCTTAACTCAAAAATATCAGGGCTGAGCACATTTCAAAGAGCAAGCTCTAGAATCAGACTGTCATTTCTAATAGATATGACCTTTTCTCCAGATAAACAAGCATTATTTTTTTTGGTTTAGGCCCATGGGAAACCACCCCCCCCACACACACACACAAATTGAAGGAAATAAAGGGAATATATGTAAGGCAAACATTTCTTTCTTCCTCTTTTTCTTTGCATTATATCTTGCTAATTAAATTGTGGCCTTTGTTATTATAAATGTAACAATTCATTAAACTATATTATGTAATATATTTTGACTTTTTGATTTGATTTGATAATTCAGTACTTTGTGTGTTCATGCCTACTCATCCATTTTTTTTTCTCAAAACACAACAAACTTAATCCGCAAAATGGATACCCAATCCTCAAAGGTATCAAAAAATGACAGAGTACACTGATGAGCAATCAGCGTACAATCAGACTTCCAAAATATTTTCATCTTTGTAAATTTGTTGTTGTAGTATAGTAGCCTTTGAAAAACATGCCTCAAAATTTAACTTCCCTGCTGCTGAAGCTATTTTAAAGCATCATATTAGTCATTAAGCATTAATTAAAGAACAGCAGGATAATTAGTAGGATCATCAATATTACAGGAAACAGTAGATTGCTCCAGAAGGGAATAATTTAACCAGAAACACTTAAAAATTTTTTCAAGTATTGCAGCTGATAGATTAGTAAGAAAAGGGGGTGGGGGAAGCACTCCCTTTAGAAGATGCAGACTTTAAATCATTATTTGGAAACAGATATGCATGCTTCTCTATTTATTTTACAAAGGCAAAATTGTAGGGCTCAATTCAACCCAGTAATTCTCTTGAGGTGCCGGTTTAATAGTGACTTTTGAAGAAGGCAGAACTCTTCTAATTTTCATGGAAAGAAAATTCCCAGTCATTAGTCAGTCCTAGGTAGCTCAGATTAATATCCCACAGCTGGTCTGCATTTTATACTCAAGGTGTAAACTCATCAACAGTCATCCTACGTGAATGTTAGCTATTGCTTAGGGCTCTCTATTGGTATCTGATCAAGTGCATTCTCAGGCATAGCTCTGAGAAACATTTGAGGAACAATGTTGGCGTGTATATGCGAATCGCTGTGACCGCCATATTTCATCAGTCAATGCTTTGTTTGTATGTCTCGTGCCATCAGAATTCAATCTTTGTAGCCCTCATCCACCAGAAGCTGCACCCTGTGGAAAATGTTAACTCTTTATCTGGCAGATGTCGACATTAATAATTTCCGGGTGCTTGAAACTTTTTTCCAGTAAACCTATTGTGTTTGTCGTAACGATGCTGCCTTCTGTTGTGGCATGAGTACCAAAATTAATAAATATTGCCTGGTGGTGATAAAGATATTGCTGCATCCTGGCAGAAACGTGATCCCTTCTCCATGCACACAGAAATTGCCAGCCTGTGATATTTATGACATTGCCCGGCAATTCTGAACTAAAGAGAGCCTCTAATAGGATATGCCAGCTTGAATGAATGACCGCTTCAACATCTCACTAAATAACTTGGTTCTGAATTTGTATTCATTTTTCAGATCTCATTCTCTCTTTTCATTTAGCAACTAAAATCAATGGCTATTGGGAATTAAAATAGGCGAACAAAAGGAATCTTTGTCCAAGTAAAACATTCTGAGAGCAAGTCCTGTTGGGATAAAAGTGAACAGTCTGTACAAAGCTAGACAGTCATTTCACGCAGGGAGGCAAAGATACTTTGAGCAATTTGTCCCTTCGAAGGGTATGGGAATTCTGACTTGGTTGTCTTCAAGCTTTGCATTAAATCAATCAATAAAAATCCATGCTATCTTATGAGCAGTTCCTTTACATTTCTAGTCAACCTACAAAAGAACAGCTTCCCAAAGATTGTCTACAAATGCTACCCTCTGTTGTAATCTTTCCTGTGAGTTGCCTCCTGACAACCACCATCTCTATGTGTCTGGACTCTGGACGGTGTCCATGTTGACTTCCATGGCTCCCTAAGGGAGAAGCTGCAACTTGGAGGCAGATACTCTTCTCTGGGATTCTCTGTATGATCCTGTCCGTCTCCAGATCCCCACCAGGAAAAATAGAGGGTAGCAACTTCCTCCAGAGGCTATTTGAAAGGAAGGCATCCTTCTTTGTTTCCATAACATTTCTTAGTATTATAGCCCACAAGTAACATTTTGATGACGATGGCAAGCAAAAAGAGTTCCTAGGTGATACCATTAGCTCATGTACTCCCTGCTAACCAATAGGTTGGTGGTTCAAGTTCACCCAGAGCTGCCTGGGAAGAAAAGCCTAGGGATTTACTTACAAAAATATCAGTCATTGAAAACCCCATGGAACACAAGCTCCCGAGTTTAAATCAATGAAAACAGCATATTTTCAGGTCAGGGAGATGCAAAGGCCAGAGAACAACCAATTTGGTGCTTTGTCCAGAAATCTGCATTCATGCACAAACACTCCACGTGTGCCACATAAAATGCCAATTGTGCCACCAGAGGCATTTGCCTCATTGAAGTTTCTGCAACATTTAAAATTTCTGATCTTTAGTTACTTTGGGAACAGTTCATTTAAAGGAAGTATCTAAGAGAGTATCTAAGAAAAGAAGGTAACAAAGAAAGATTTGGCAAAACACATTCGGCATGCTGCAACTTAGTAAAACAAATCTCAATCCACAACTGAAAAGACTGAGAGATGGGTGATGTCTGTGTGTGAGGTACACTGATCAGGAATTGAACCCCAGGCTCCCACATGGAAGATGAGAACCACAGAAAAGATTTTCCGGATGAGTTTTTCATTCTATTTGTGAGCCTTTCCTAAAGGTTTTTGTTTCTTTTCCTTGTCTGAGAAAAAAAATGATAGCGTGTTACTACAAAGGAATATTATACAGTTAAATAATTACCGTAAGATAGCCTGAAACACAAAATTCGTGAATTCTCAAGTAGTAATGAAAGGATATAATGGAAAAGATACTCCTCCTTTAAAATAGGAACCATTAGCACTCATCCAATCAAGAATCTGCAGACTAGTTCTCTCACAAGAAAGATAATGTTATGGATACAGAAACATAATCACATGCTGACTATCAAAAAATACAGCCTGGCCACTTCTGAATCAGATCTTCTCCCTCATGCTGTGCTATTGTGCAGAAGAACAGTAGCTACAGAGATGCTGCCAGAAGGGAGGGACCACTACAGATGAGAAGACAAAAAATCACAGTAATTATAGAAATACAAATGAGTTAGTGTTTTGCAAACAAATATTAGAGAGCCTACAAAGTGTGAAAAAGGCAGAGATATAATAAGATTTGAGAAATGGAGCATAAGATTGAAGACAGGTGTTAGACACAGAATTTCTGGAGCTAAAAACCAGAGGTAGGCAGAAGCATGCTTCTGCATTCTTGCACTTCCGTGCTAGATTAGTGTGGATTGAAAATGGACTGCAGATGAATGATGAAAATCAACAGCCTGAAAGGGGTGGGGTCATGGGGTACAGGAGCAGCACCACCCAAAAGGTCATCCATTGATAAACCTGATATACACCAGGGAACAATGGTGGTTCATTGATAGTATTCTCACCTTCCATGCTGGAGACCTGGGTTCAATTCCTGATCAGTGTACCTCACACACAGACATCACCCATCTCTCAGTGGAAGCCAAAACCAGTCCATGTAATCCCTACTGCCCATAATTGTCCAATCCCCAACTGATCAAGATGGTGCCAGACTGGACAACATCTCATTTCACTGTGAATGGGGCCACCAGATGCTGGTGGATAACTCCACATTAGCTAGCAATAACAACACACCTGGGTCAAGTGACCTAATGCATGGTTTTAATATAAGGAAGAGTAACTATATACATGTACATCTACATATATACATAGGTATATGGAAATACAGCAAGAATATATATAT